GCCCACCTCTGTACGCAAGCCAGAGAGAGAAAAGATGTACTCCGTTGCTGGAAAGTACATCAAGTATATAAGGGATGAAATTACAAGTCACCTGAAATATACCTGTAAACAATCAACGCAAATGAAACACAGAATCGGCGCAAGTGAAAGAAAATCTCGGCTAAAGTGAAATGCAGATCGGCGCAAATGCAAAACGCCACCAAGGATCCCACATTTTTTAATGAATTCGATCTATATTTTTTAACGTTTTCAAATGAAATGTATTGAATGGAAAATTTTCCGACTTTCTGAAGATTTCTCAATTGGCTTCAATTATTACAAACAAAACGAAAAGCTTATTTAAAATTTTTGCAAAATCAATATATATTTATTATTTTTCTAGGGAACCCTCTTTTGTTTGTTTACCAATAGATATAGGAAGATGTGGTATGAGTGCCAATGAGACAACTCTCCATCCAAGTTACAATTTATAAAAGTAAACCATTATAGGTCAAGGTACGGCCTTCAACACGGAGCATTGGCTCACACCGAACAGCAAGCTATAAAGGGCCCCAAAAAATTACTAGTGTAAAACCATTCAAACGGAAAAACCAAAGGTCTAATCTATATAAAAACGAGAAACGAGAAACACGTATGAACTACATAAACAGACGACAACTACTGCAATTAGATTCCTGACTTAGGACAGGTGCAAGTTTACTTGTATGTGTTTATTGCCTTTACTAATCACAGTGACACTCCTAATGATTAAAGATCAAATGACCTAATCAACACGATAATTGATATTGGATATGATCATCGGTCGGGCCGATATCTTTTTTGCGCCAAAAATGAAATCATTTGCGCCAAAACTTATATTTATTTGCGCCAATGCTACTTCTGCGCCACTTTATTTTAAAAACTATAGGTAGCATTTGCGCCAATAAAATATCATCTAATTGCGCCAATTTTATGAACTTATTTATGGTTACTTATATATATCAACTAAATGATTGACCTCCCCCTCCTTTATCCGAGCTTGGGACCTGCAGATTACAGACTGGCGGAGTAAGTCATTTAATACAAAAAAATTGCTGAATTAAAACGTTCACTTATATATATACAGTTTAAACTATACTTTGTCTCTGCTCATTTTATAACCAAAGGCTGGCATACACCTTATCGCTATTTGTCCGCCATTACTGGACATCACAAAGGTTCCCGTAAAATTTTAACGTCAAAATACAAAATATGGAAAAGTGATTGTTGTATGACGTCAATAGTTCAAGCGGCGCAGATTCTCGGGTTAACCGGCGCAGTGTGACTGAGAATAGATAAAAAAATATCCTTTCTGCTCACTTCGCCTCTCAATAGTTTTTGGTACTTTTCTTGAGCAAAGTTTTCTTTTTCCGAGTCGTGTCGACTTCTCGCAGCTTCTGGTTTTCCTCTATCAGACTATATTTTCTTGAACGATATTTCAGACAATTTGAAAAACTATTTTATTACTGAACAATTTATTTCTGGGGAGTTTTCGTATTTTTGATGAGTGTTTAATTTAATCTCAAGTGAAAAGGTTAATTATAGTACATGTTACATGTATGATATAGGTAAATAACGGCGCGTGCAGATAAAAACCTAAATAAATTTCAAATATTTAATTGATTTTAAAAGACCAAAAATTATATTATTCATCGAATGCATACCCTTAACGCTCACTAAAACATCTATTACATGTCCTGAGTGCACTTTAGTTTCATGAGTGCACTCAGGAGGTCCTGAGTGGTTTTAAGATGTACCGCTGGGAAGTTATATGAAATACAAAATTATATATTAAATACACCTTGAAGGCGTTAGCCCGAATGAGTGCATCTAATTTACACCAAGATCATATTGTCAATGCAGAATGATAGAATTCAATAATCTAGGACAGGGACTTTCTATACAACCGGAGTCCTTGTTTATGAGGTCTTTCAGTGATTTGACCATATGCTATTGGAATGCAGGATAAATGCAGGGTATCCAATTTCATTTATCGACATCTTGGTGTAAATAAAGATACAATTTTGATAGATAAATAGAATACAAAAACACATTTCTTTACATAATTCAATCTAAAAATAATTGAAATTCATCATATCGGTATTTCTTTAACATGATACACTAGAGTCGAATAATGTATGTATGCATTACATGCTTGCACTCTTTGGATTAACGTATCAATAAGAAGGAAGAGCAGAAAGTCACAATAAAGAATTAAAGGAGAAAACGTCAAAATATGGTTTTTGGGATAATTTTTTTTTTGACAAATGTCTATCTTAGCATAGAATATGGTCTGTATATAAAACAAGTATACCGCTGTAATAAAAGTACTAGACTATGTATACATGGAAATATATGCTACTTCCTTCAGAATTTTGTTTTTTTAGTTAAACATGTCTTTATCGTATATTTGTTTTAAATACTACTCAATTTGCGGTATTGCGATATGTTCGTGTATTTTTAACAATGTCGTCAGTAGTGTTTAGAAAGAAGCTATTATAAAATGTGTTAGAACCATAAAATACACATACGGAGCTATAATACCAGTAATAGTTTTAGGACGCGGTGTGTCAGTGTAAGATCACCCCGATGGCCGGAGGCATTTGGCATTCCCGCCAAAATATTACAGAACAAAGGAAAGCATGCAGAAAAAAGAAACTCAAGCTAGTGTGATCTGGTAGGGTTGATCCGGATCAGATCACCCCTGATAGAACAAAGGAGTTGGGATGTAACGACAGGTGTACATATGATGTAATTGTGAAATAGCCATGTAATTGCCACGTTTCTTTGATATTCTAAGGATTGTTGATTTTATTACCTGTTGATTATTGGCAAGTGCCATCGAACTCTATCTTTAAAGACAGAAAATATTAAATAACGCCAAAATTACTATTAGAGGAAGAAGAATATGAAGAAAAATTATTTATTATAGTGCAACATGAATAAACAAATAAATAAATGTTTTATAATACAAAATAATCAGCCGGTCAAATAGGAGTATGATGGATGCACTTTCTAATAATAATAGTCTATTCTGAATCATGAAAATAATTTTTGAAATCAAAATTTAAGTTTGTTACTAAAATGAAAGAAAGGGTAAACGCATTTACAAACAGATGTTATAAGATATATACTCGGTGCTGAACTTAAAATTAGGTTATAGTTTTTTTAAGAAATGTACTATGAGGATCTGGAAGGGCCTTCATTTCTGTATTCTATAATTTGTTTTGGCCATTTTTCTCTATTCTTTATACTTTTTGTTAATTATTCTCAATTCTTTATATTCAAGCACCTTATTATCTTCTATTCTTGATTTTTTTTGGGTCCATTTTTCTCTGTTCTTTATATTTTTTTGCCCATCATTTTCTATTCTGTTAACCCCCATCAACATCCTCCTCTATCCGATAGTATGTTATTTAAAGCTTTAACACTGTCCCGTCACGGTCTAAGTGCAGTTACAGTAGATTAGTGCACTCAGAGGCATGTCTCTGGTGCCCTGATGAGGCCTTGTTGTTCAGAAACACTACTCTATGAAGTAAAAGCTAAAAAATAGACGCTTGTCCGAGTTTAAAAAAAAAAAAAAAAAAAAAACTCGCACGGGGAATGAATTTGCCTCTAAGTAATTATTAAGTTTAAGAGGAAAGTATCGAAAGATAACGAAATTAACGAAATGAATTATCTGACATAAAACATATACTTGTATTCGGCGTTGATCGTTCCTGTCCTGATGAAGTTAAATCCAGAAACCTGCTTCGGACGCATGAATTTTATACAGTGTTAATATCACTTTTTTTGTTGAAACGTTTAAAATTTGAAATTACTTCTCTTCAAATAACAAGTAGATAAATACATAAATTAATATAGATTAGAAAAATAAAACCAGAAACAGTTATTGACGAATAGTTTATTTCCTCAACAAAACAAATAACAAAACGTTTAGATATATTAATTCCCTAATCTCTTAAGAAAACCAACAGAAATAAAAAAAAAATAACCAATGATTTCATGTTTAATTATTAAAAAGTTACGTTTTTTATTCTAGCATTTATATTATACATTTTTTGTAATTAAAATGTATCATCAACACGAAGGGGCGTAACTCCTAGTACCATACTGACACACTGAACGGATCTTAACCCGATCTGAACATTTTGAACGCTACCTGTCAATACCGTCATAATCATGATAATTGTTTGGACTAGTATTGTGAAAATAATTGTATGGATTTCAAGATTATATATTCGTTACAAAAATACGTCACTGTTTGTCATGTCCTGTGCTGTCGTTAATGGAAGATGATAGTTGTTATTTTACGGTTTACATGTTGTAACGACTATCATATTATTCATTTGTGCGTTTCTCTGTGCTGAGTGTTCTTGCGTTTGTTTGTGCTGTATTTCTGTCACGTAGTGATGTCATTTTAGCGAACATTGCCATATAAGTGGGAGGTTTGGCTAGCCATTAAACCAGGTTCAACCCACATTTTTTCTTAAAATATCCTGTACCAAGTCAGGAATATGTCAGTTGATATCAAATAGTTCGTTTTCTATGTATGGTGCATTGGCGTTTGTTTTTGTTGCACTTTAGTGTTTCTGTTCCGTTGTTTTCCTCTTATAGTTGATTTGTTTCCTACAATTTTAGTTTGTAACCCAGATTTGTTTTCTCGCAATCGATTAATGACTTTTGAACAGCAGTATACTACTGTTGCTTCTACTTATGTTTGGTCTAAATTTGTCCACAAACGTCTTAATCAAACGCTAAAGCCTTCCGTCTCGTTTATCTTGACATGACTGAACGGACTAAACACAATATACTGCAACAGCGTCTAAAAGCCTAGCGGTAAAATCAGTGAAATTAAGACTTGATCAGACCAAAATGACCGTTTAAGACTGAAATCTTGCTAATAGTGCTAAGGTATCAGGACATGTCATAGTCATCCATATATATTATTTACGACAATTTAGAAAAAAATATATACTTACTCCATGTAATCAAGTTGATTGACACGTTAGAAGAACCTATAACATTGTCTACCCTACAAACGTATTTTCCTCTGTCTGCTAACTCTACATCTCGTATTGTAAGGCTTGTTGTACCTCCAGTAAATCTTTTATTTTTGTCTATATCATATCCTTCTTTAGACCATTTTAAAGAAGTTATATTTGTAAACGTTTGGTTTACAGTAATATTCAAAATTGCTTCCGTATGCAATTCTGCAAGAGCATTCGCATTTGCTGTAGATATGATTGGTTTATCTAAAATAGAAATTTTCACTCACACGTTAGTAACTGTACTAGTTGTAAATAGTTGAACAAAATATTTGAATTTCTTTATAAGTCAGTAAAGTCTTATGAACATAATATAAAAATAAAAAGATGCGGTATGATTGCCAAATATACAACTCTCTACCAGATACCACATGATGCAGAACTATAGGACACCGTACACACTTTAACAATGAGCAAAACCCATAAAGCATAGTAACCTGTAAATGGCCCCTAAATTAAAAACGGAAAACAATTTAAACGAGAAAATTATTTTATGTACAAAACAGTTTACGAAAAACAAATATGATATACAGTAACAACCGACAACCACTGAATTACAGGCTTCTGAATGGAGACAGGCAAATACAGAATCACTGGGGTAAATGTGATATCCGTAACTGCAGTTACGTATATCCATAAGTGGCGGACGATGTTTTTGGCTTTCAGCTAAGTATTTCTTTTGTCGATTTTGTAATAATTATGCATTAATCTTCGATATTTTATGTCTTTTTAACGTTTTACTAATTTGGAAACTGAAATACCAACGGTTGTTTTCATAGTTACACCGCTAAATGTAGAAATCAGACTGATATCCGTAACTGTAATAAACGTTTAGAAAAGGATATCCGTAACTGTTGAGTTTTGTTGTTTCTGCATCATTCATCATCCTCAATATAATACATTGGACGAGCAATTTTTCCAGAAATTTAAATGTAATAAAGTCGTCAAAAGATTAGAAATTATCTGAAACGGAAAAATGTACGCCCACAATATCACAGCATCAGAAAAATACCAATTCAAGAACTTGCAAGTGAACAAACTAACTAAAGGCGACAGTAGTATACCGCTGTTCAATAATCAAAAATCACTTAAGCGAATCCAAATGCAATCAAAAGGATATCCATGAAATCTGATATACGTTCTACATATTTACATGCTTTTAATTGGTCTCAGCACATCAGTGGTTCATCGTGTTCACTGAGGACTACGTTAGAGCATTGTATAAACAAAAAGAAGTTGAACTGGACACCTTGTCAAAATGGGTCAAAACAATCAGGTCTCTGATAAAATGTCGAATTCTTTAGATGAAAACTGTGTGAACGATTGACAGTCCAACTTTAAGAGACAAAGAATCTTCACGATAAATATATTGTTGTTCCTGCGAACAAATCTTCAAATGATATTGTTTTTGTATGTAAATCCACTTACTACGAGTGTCTTGTAAAAGAATTAGAAATAAATGAGCACTCAGGTAATCCCACATACAAAAACATATCATCTGACAATGAAGTGATTTTGGAGAATCATACGTTTTTCATGGCTTCAATGGACAATACATTGAACAGCAACACTGAGGACTCATCTGCATGTTCTATCAAGGAATTGTCCATATAAGATTGACAAACATTATGTCCGCAGTAAAAGAGGTTCTTCAGAAATACTGTGAAACTGTTTACTCGCGTAGTGGTATTAACCATATAAGGGTAGGTACTGTAATTTAGTCAAGGACCCGCTATGTCATTGTTTTGTTAACTTACATCCTGTGATTAAATGCGTAGCTGCATAGTTGTGTCCATTTGTGTTCCTTCCATAACACCTGTATTCAGCAGAATCATCATAAGTTACATCTAATATTTTAAGGCTAGGGTTCTGAAGTGTACCTCCTTGATATTTCTTAAGATTTGAATCTGAAACATTTATTTGGCGTTCATTGTTTAATTTCACCCACCAAACATGTTTGGTTTGCGGTCTAGTTTGAACAACCGAACACGTCAGAACAACATCAGACCCGATCGCAGCAAGAAACAGGGTGTTTGGAATAGACAGCTGTGGTAATTTCATATCTAAAAAGAACAACCGTATATGTCAGATATATATATATTCAAATGGTGTGATGCAAATTTTTTACAGCAACGGGAAACATACGATAATGACCATGCAATAATGTAATTGTTTTCTTTTGTCTATAGTTTAGTTTCATTTAACTGTCTCGTTGTCATGATTTGTAGTTTCAAATCATATGGTAGTCCTTGGATTGGGCCAATTTCTTTTGAAGCAAAAAATATTTCACAATTTAGTCAATAAGGTATCCAAAATTACGATTTTCTTTAAGAGTACCTAATTATGACGTCATAAAGACATCATCAGAGTTCTTATTTGTCAGATATTTTGATATTCTTTATCTTCAAATGTTTACAATTAAAACTGACGTTATATTTCATGGAATTGTAGGGCCAGTAATGACTCTTTGGGAACCTACTCCTTTCCATATTTATTTACCAAATCAGATACCCGTATTTCCATTCCACAGAAGAAGTATTGGCTTCTGGACTGGTGATTTCAAATTGGAACCTTAACTCATTAATTTTTGACAATCAGTATAACAAATATCAAGTTGTTCTTCATAAAAAATAAATGACACAATTTACTATATCTATGTTGACCGAAATTGATAAATTGTATTTTCAAAAAACACAACAATAATGATCAAACAAAATTCCAAAAAAGATGGAAAGTATGATTATAACCATTTTGAGCGAAACACATGCTAAATTTTGTAAAACAGAAAAACAATTTGGAAATAATTTATTTCAGGTAATTATTACACCAGCCAATGAAATTTCAGTCTTCAAATGTTTAGGATATAGAGGATCCCAAATAGTCTTCCAAACAGAAAGTAGTCCAAAGCTTTAACAGATCATTGTAAGCGAAGTGTTCACATGATAAGTATTCCTATTGGTTCAAACCGTGATGTTATATGTATTGAAGTTAATTTTATTGTGAGACTAGAAATTAGATTTGACAATTTTCTTTTTGATGAACAATTATGCGTATAAAATTTGGGTTTTTTATTTCATGAATATGTGTTTCAAAGGTTCACTTCACTGCTTTTTGAAATTACAACACAAGAAAGTCAATGGAGAACAAGTTTTCATTATAAATCACTTACACTGGATATCAAATTAAGTGAAAAAATTTGTATTCAAGAATATAAAATTACGTATATCTGTCTATATGAGATAAAAACCTTATTGATACAAAAAATATCTAACGAAACAAATGTCGTCTAAATAATAATGAGAAATGAAAAACATATGGTATTGCAATCGGATGGTCTGTACTATGAATGGAACCGAGTTCCTATGTGTGTTTATTAATTGGCACCTTCTCATTATAATCTCCTTCATGCCTCTTTTCATATTTGATATCTTAAAACAAAAAACAAAAATGAAAATCGAAAGTGTTTTCGTGTTGTTTTACATATCGTGAAACCGATTTTAATTGCCCTTTTCAATTTTGAAGATTTGTAAATTTGTCAATTGAATAATATTTCAATTTTTGATTTCATTTAAAAATAAGGAATGTGGTATGATTGCCAAGGATACAACTATCAACAAGAGTTCAAATGAAGAGGATGGAAGCAATTATAGGCCACCACTGCACGGCTTTCCACAATGAGAAAAACCCATACCGTATGGTCGGCTATTAAAGGCCCGACATAACAAATGGGAATCAGTTCAAACGAGAAAACTTCCAACCTAATTTAAAACAAAACTATTTACCCCAAAACATAGAACAGACAAGAACCAACGACAACCACTGAACTGCTTGTTCCTGACGTAGGACAGGAACATAAAGAATCTGGCAGGGTTAAACATGTTAACTATTAATTAAATGGTCTTAGCTGCAACTCATTTAAAGCCCTATTCTCTAATTAGAAAGGTAAATATGCTAGATATACTTACTAGAGGTGTGATGAGATGATTGAAGCTGTTAATTTTCTCCTTGATAATATTTATGTACGTTTCGGCAACAAAGTTTATCGACAGGTTGTAGGTATTCCTATGGACACTTATTGCGCCCCTTTAATAACAGACTTGTTTTTGTACTGTTATGAATCCCAGTTTATGACCGAACTCAGTAAAGACCCGTCTAGATTGCATTTAATTGATAAATTCAACAACACTTACCATTATTTTGACGATATTTTTTCGTTAAATAATCAAGAATTTTCTAAATATACTGCCGAAATTTACCCAAAGGAACTTATTTTAAATAAATTTAATTTTCTTGCTCCTTTTGTAATGTAAACTTTGTCTCTATGTAAGGAAAGTAATTTCTCGTCTACAGCCGAAAAAGGTCAGAATTAATCCAAAAGCTTGTATCTTCAACAAAGATTTTTAGATAAAGATGAAGTAAAATAAAAATAAGATTGTAGAGTGACTACAGATATAATACATACCTTGTACAACTATAAATGTATTGATACCATAATACCATTGGGAGTTTTTCCAATAGTACTTGCAGCGGTAGTTTCCAGCATCATGATATCTAATTTTTGGAAGTATTAACGTTTGAGTTTTTTTCAATAACTTATAACCAATTTTTTCCCAGGTGTAAATTGGAACATGTTGCGGCTCATCTTTACACTTGAGTGTCAAGTTTGTTCCTTTATCGACTACATCTAAAAAAGAGATAATTTGACGGCTGTCAATTGGTATGTCGAGAAAAATCGATCGCGATCCGTGATAGAAATAGTAACTGTGGGCAAGAATAGCGATTGGATCATGAAAGATCTGGTATAGGATCGTGAAAGAAATTTTATCAAGAAGACATATGCAAAGTCAGTAAATAGTGTAATTTAACGAATTATAATGACAAATATTGGAAAAATAAACTGTCAGTCAAAATGGTCCAACACCAAAAAATAAAACTAAGGTTTAAGGTACACCGTTTTTACACAAAGGCAGATTGCTCATCGAAATTTCAAAAACATGAAAAAGAAACAAACATGATTTTTTTTTCATATTTTGAATGTATTATCTTCTTTTGTCTTTAAAATGTCGTTCTGTATTACAATTACTGTTTAAAATGGTTCTTCAAGTTATTTTGTAGTAGTTTAATCAGCATAAATGGAAATATTTGTAAACAATTGATATTTCAGATCGTGAAAATCGGGAACCGCTTTTTGATGATCTTGAAAGATCTGCTGCCGTTCATTCGTTATAGCAAAAAATCCACGAAAACGATAAATCATTCTTTAGACATAGATAATCTATATTTTGTATTTTGTATAGCAAACGATATTTGATATGCATGACTTATTCCGGCTCACTTTGTTTGTTGGTCTTGTGAATAGGGCTTTGATGGTTAAATGCCATTGGATCTTATTGATTAATTAATTTTTATGAACAGTCATATCTACAATGTATATAAGATCCTTGTTGTATTTTGTAAAAATTGAGGTTGGGTGGGGGGATTGAAAAATGATAGAAATCAACTGTCATATTCTTTATTTGGCACAATAATAATAATAATAAATAATAATAAAATTCTTTATTTAACGAAGGTAACACATTTAACAATTACATGTTAATCTTCCATGAGGCCTTCAAAAACTATGAATACAAATAGAAAAGAAAAAAAAACAAAAACAAAAAAAACAAAATACAAACAAAATAAAATACATAATACTGTTATACATAGCAGCTTAAATATTGAATAAGTACATATGCATTCAATAGAAGAAGAAAAAATACATTAGAATCAAGCATCTTCATTCTGTACAGTTTGAAAATAGTTTGAACATTTGATCTTAAATGTATCTAAATTATTTATTTCTTTAATATTATTTGGTAAATTATTCCAAGTAATAAGACCAGAATATTTAAATGTTCTTTTTAAAAATTCAGAATTAGGTCTTGGTACATGAAGAAGTCTTGATGTTGCACAGGCATTTCGCTACGAAAATGGTGGGTTATACCTGGTTTCTAGCTAGGTAAAACGTTCACTTGTATGACAGTTGTTTAATTCCCGTAATATTGCCAAATTGGATAAGCAACCCATAAAGGCATAATTGGATTATGTAAAAATACAATGTAACTGGGATCCATCTACCAAAACTGTGTACAAATTACAACACAACTGAATGAAACTTTCAAACACACATTCAATTAAACCAAACAAAGACGCCAACATAATGTTTTTTGTAGTTGATAATAAAGTCAGTATAGTATAAAGCATAATGACATATACACTTTCCGGATAAAATACAAAATAAGTAAATTATAAATACAAAGGTATACAGAGTGTAATCATCAATATAAAAACACCATGTGTCCGAATTGCATCTCTGTACCAACCTGCATAAGTAATGCCAAAAGATAAAAACCTGAAAGCTTGATGAACATATACAGAGCCACTTCAAAATTCATATGACCAATAAGAACATAATAGTACAAAGACGAAATTCAGGTAGAACTGTAAAGTGATAAAATTTTACATGAAGTCTGCACCCAGAATATCTAATGAAGACCATCCTGTATTATTTCTGAAGTAGACACTGAATATATTATTTTGTAATGTTTTGAAAATTTGAAATAATGAAAGAGGGACGAAAGATATCAGAGGGACAGTCAAACTCATAGATCGAAAAAAAAAAAAACTGACAACGCCATGAATGGACGAGGTTTTGAAAATTTGGAATAATGATTCGAAAAGGTAAGTTATTGTACTGATACATTTTGTTTTCTGTTACAACTTAATTATACAATACATTTTGTACAAAGTACATACACACTTCTGCAATTACAGTATCACATTCCTTTAGCTACGTATACAAAAAATACTTTCTGCAGCTTTGCCAGTAGTACTAGTCCAAATAATTATGACGTTTGGAAAGGCTATTTTATACTTTTGCTTTGACGCCTTCCTGCGATTTCAAATCAAACACATAAATAGCCTTTTATAGCTGACTATGCGGTATGGGCTTTGCTCATTGTTGAAGGCCGTACGGTGACCTACAGTTGTTAATTTCTGTGTCATTTGGTCTCTTATGAAGAGTTGTCTCATTGGCAATCATACAAAATCTCATTTTTTATATTTCAAGACGACAGTACCATTTGGACTACAATAGTACCAGCTCAATTTTATAAAATTACATCAATTTCTGCTCAGAGTAAAGAGCACTTTTGTAAGTAAACTATATGATACATACATTGCATATTGTTTTCTTCACATCATATGTGAACTTATTAAAGCATATCTTTTATAAACAAATTTATTCCCAAAATCTTACACACACACACACACACACACACACACACACACACACACACACACACACACACACACATATATCAGCACAGGCACCCAAGGTACAAACTATAACATATGTGGATACTTTCTAACATTGAACATTTATAATTTCAGTATCACATGCATTAACATTGACAACATCTGGGTTTTTTTTACTAGCTTAATTCTATAAAATGACATAAGTTGTTTCTCAAATTATTCATCACCTTTAATTTGTTAATAAACAGCTTATCTCGATATTTGCAATACTATATAATTCTACTATATGTTTTACTTCATATTTGAAAATTCTTAACGTGTCTACCGTTTAGCCTTTTTATTAGAAACATAATGTGCTTTATAAACTGAAATGAACATTAAGCTAAGCAGATGATTTAGTACATAGTATGCCTCATCATGAATTTTGTATCATATTACAAGAGAATGGAGAATTAGTACATGTCCGGCAATGCTAATTTTTTTAAGTAGATCTTTCATTGATGTTTTCATATCACAAAGTCAGGTCACAACTCGTCTTTCACGATCAAAATAATGCGTTGCCAGATCTTTCACTATCAATTTTGATTAAAAATCAACCAAGTTATACCTATTCAAAAATAAAATGAACTTTTTCTTTTACTGAATTATCTGCCAGAGAAAAGATCAAGTTTCAAATATGTGACCATTATAGATACAAAACGTGATTTTTCCTTAAGGATTCACAAAGGATTGTTTGTCACTTTTTGTGTTTTCTTAAAAAAAAGAACTGCATTTTTTCTTCATGCCTGCATCACACTGTCCTGAAATTGGCTAAGATGGACATACGGTAAAGGAAATGTTCAAATTCGAGTCTGACGTAAACACATCGGGTGTTTCTTGTGTGCATCTTAAGCGGTTCAGTAACAAAATCTTTGGCATGCCAAAAAATTACCAAAAGACCTAGCGAAGGTTTGTTTTCGTGTTGAATTCGTATGTCCATTTTGCACTTCATAAGGCCATCGTGATGGCATCATATTAAACCGAATTATCTCCATCTTTACTGCCATCGGATATATTTCGCCTGACGATGACAATACGAAGGAAACAAGAAGCTGTCCGATTGTCTTAGGAAGGCAACACGACAACGTGAAACCCTTTCAATGCAGTCGTGTAGCAATCGTATTACGCATGACATTGAGATTGGACCACGAAGACAGCCAAATTTTAGTCACATGTGTAATGGTAATGTGAATATTTAAAAGTCCAGCAATAGACCATCTTCCTCAGACAGTCCTTAGGAACTCTACAGAACATAGACTTGTGTAGCCCCAAAAGCTTCAATTACAGTTGATCACAATACAGTTCCTACAGAATGACATACTTTGATCCCACTAACTCCTTACTCCTCTTACAGGTAAAACTTGCCTTACGTCACATTTCTTGCTATTTGCCTTTCTATCATTCGGCAATGTATCTATCTTGTTTTGCTTTTTATTTTCTAGGGCAGTGACAAACCGAGACGAGGGAGGAAACCGATGTCTATGTGGGTAAGGAAATGGCTGTCTGACAAAAAAATGTAGATAACTACTAAAGGAGCTGAGGACAGAAGATGAGAAGGCCTTCTACAATCAGACAAGATTTCATAGAGGCCTATACGAAAGATCTGCGAAGGGTAGAAGGCAGAATAGATAAGAACACATGGAACAAAAAGTCTCGCCATCACGTCTCGGGTTGTCCATAACTCTACGACACATAGCCTGACAATTGTACAAGCCTGTCCTACAACTTTAGAGTTGCTTCAAATGCCATGCCCCTTATCATCAATGTAGTCTGCGATGTCTTCAAAACCGAGTTTGCTGCTGATGTGATCTTACTACAACTGAGGATTGGGCCACCATTGATGTGCACTTCGAGAATAGATATCAATTTCCACACTACTATGGTGCTCTGGATGGCAATCATGTGGCGATCATCTGTCCTTGGAATACTGGATCTGTGTACAGAAACTACAATGGCTTCTTCTCCATTGTTGTTGTAGCCTTGATCGACGCAGACTACTACTTCTCTAGATCAATGTCGGCTCTGATGGTTCCAACCACGATGCCAGTATCAACAATAAGTCATTACTAATGGAAGGCCAGGAAAGTCCGAACAATAAATTCATGAAAAATCCCTACCTAGTAATGACAAGAAACCAAGGAGGGAAGGCAAATCAGAAGATACCTACCTCAAATGTCGGTGCCATGACAGGACAGGATGATCCTGTTATTTCTGCTACAAAGCAGTGACAGTAAAATTCATACATAGACACTGTGATGATGAACAAATGTTATTTTCACATATTGCATGGTAACGTAAAGCATAATGTGTATAGAGAAATAAATTTAGTTTTTGAAATTTTGATTG